AACATGAGCACTTGATGCATCGTATTGTAAAGTTTTAACGAAAAGAAGTTGCAACAAGCAAAAGAAGTGCAACAAGCAATATTCTCACCACTAAAAAAGGATCAGATTACACGAGGAGATAGAAAGGAAAGCTTGATACGAAGAATACAGTTGCTTCTGTTGGAAAATCTGGTGTTGGGGAAAAAATCTAACCAGCAAACAAAAAAAAATGGGAATAAAAAAAGAATTACAAGCCAAGAGCGAACGACAAAGGAAAAGAAAACAACGCAATTTTTTTCGAAACCTGGCCGAGTTTATGAAAAAACGAAATAAAATACCGACGTGCCGTACATCACATGTCCTAGGAAACATTTCAAATAGCGCAGTGGATCATTCGAAGTTTCAATCGGGTAGCAAAATGCCTCGGGAAATTTGAAAGGAGGTTTAAATGATTAAATTGTGCAAATATTTATCTCCGAACCGACAGTAGATTTGTAGCTGGACTTAATAATATTACCAATCGCTTCCTCTTCAAAGCTGATTTTATTCTTTCAAAAAAGATCCCTCATGACACTTACACTTTTACATAGCAGGTTCGTAAAGTCGTAAGGCCACCAGACTAGTAACTGACTGTCCTCCGGAACCTCATAAAGTGTTACATGCATGACACCTTTTCAAGAAAATAATCCTTGCAACAGGAAGGGACCAAGAAACGGTCAAATGGGAAAAAAAAGGAATTTTATTCCTAAGCAAAATACGAATGATTTGCTCGTTGGGACTCTGTTGATAGGTATACCCAGTTTATCCCACAATGCAATGCTTCCAACTATATTATCAAGTTGGCGAGAACACGTGTCCCTTCATTTCGAATGGACGTGCGATAGAAAACCATGCCGATGAGCGCCAATGTTTTATAATCAACGATGTCATGTTATACTCATATTCCTGGGACACCGAGTACATTTCTGAGGTCACATTGTCTGCTTGGTCTTTCCGTCAATGTTCGTTTGGACTCGTTAGTTAATTTGGCCGGATCTCTTTCCTCGGTGTTGTTCTTCCATCGAGCGTGTGCTTGAATCAAGCAAGATATGCAGCTTAGAATCCCATGCACATGTGGACTTGTGGACCTGTGGACGTTTGTACCTGAGGCAATGGACTGACCTTAGGACTCAATTATTGCTTAGTTTCTTATTTTTCTTGGTTTATTGCCTTTTTAAACTATTTCTTAAATTTCTCCATTTGAAAATAATTTGGACAAATTATACACTGAGACAGAACTAATATGACGTAACTATACTGTGCTCCGGTACCTACAGAAACAACCGCTTTTTTACACACTTGCCCTCGTCTTCATCGTTTTGAATTTTTAGCACGTGATTGCATTGTTTACCTTCTTTTCATATCAGTGTCATATATATCCTGTATTAGTCTCAATGGCAGGCATTCTAAATTAATTCTTGTTACAATTTGGCGGTATCTACACCACCTCTTTTGTAACCTGTACGTTATAAACCTCTTTGTATATACAGTACCACAAGTGAAGAGTAAAACAATATGTTTCTCGTCTCTCACCTATATTTCGGCCGTGTTAAACGGCCTTCATCAGGGTGAATGGCCGTTACAAGCATCACACACCATTATAACATGATAACGAACAAATTTGAAAACTTGCACGCGCTACAAAGAAAGATAAACACGCGCGCGCTCTTACCGGACGCGAGATCTAGTCGACCTATTCTGGCTGTAAAAAAAGTCACTTATATTCAAGTCCTGAGGCTGAATACAGTTCAACCTATAGGCCCACTGGCCTTCTTTATCCCGGAGAGCTGATTCTTCCCCGGACACTCTGTCACTTAACTGTATACTGACATCCTCAAGACCATGGTGTCCCGGGCCAAAAAAATGTATATAGATATATATAGATTTATATATATACTTTTTTTTTGATGGAGTGATCAGCGTGCAATGCCAGTTGCATCAATAAAAAATAATTATTTTTTCGAAATGCACTGAGAGCTGTTTTTTACGTATGGTTTTTAGTTATCATTGACCATCCAAAGTAAAACCTAGGCCCGTTTCAAACGTCGTGCTACTGCCGTGCCAAACTCGATTGATCGAACTAAATTCGACTTTAGCACGGCAGTAGCTCGACTTGGTTTTAAACGTCGTGCTACCGCCGTGCCGAACTCAATTCATAAATTATAAATACATTAGAATACATTTAAAAGTTTACTAAACCGTTTCTTTAATTTTGCGTTGTGTTTTCGGCAACAGCCGGTCTATTCAATTGAATTAAATTCGACGTCTGAAACCAAGTCGTGCTAGTGTCGTGCTGCAGTCGAGCTACAGTCGAGCCAGCTTAGCACGGCAGTAGCACGACGTTTGAAACAGGCCCTAGACTTGCTGAGTACCAGTGACATCAGCAAACCCTATGTGCACTCATCCTGTGAGTCTGCAACCCAATAATGAATGGCAAAATATATATTTTTTGAATTTCTATACCGTCACTGAAACAAAGTGTGCAATTAGTTTTAACCCTTTTCAAGATTATCTTAACTGGGAAAGGCCACCCCGCAATCAACCAAGACCAAAAATTATCATAGGCACGAGAACAATTTATGTGTCACCCCCTGAAAGAAAAAAACAACAATAAATGTGATAAAATGAAATTTTATTTGGGATTATTTTTTAATTGTATAAACGAGTACTGAATAACTGGAAACTGTGTTTTGTTGTTACTTTGAGGTTTTGGCTTTATAATAAAAAATAATGGAAACTCAGGGAATATTAGCAACAGAAAACCATCAATATAAGACTCGACAGTTAGATTTTAATAAACACTTGAACTTATCAGCAACGGCCTAATGCTCATATATTACAATAAATGAAGCAAATAATCACTTTTGTTTTAAGAAAAACAATTAAGTGTTGAAATTCAAACTTGACGCTAAAGGGCAAATATCAGGGAATTCAATTTGTTTAAAGTAAAGAAGACCAATTATTGCAGGAAATTCATGTGTTTTGTTTGTTTAATGACGTTTAAAATTAAATAGCATGTATGTTGTAATTCTTTTAAAATTCTATAAATATCTACTGGTATTCTAGTCCCCATAGTTTGGTGAATGAAATCAGCCCCTTTCCATTTCAGTATCCATGCTGACCACTAATTCTAGCTGTTACTCAGTCCAGATCATTGAACAGATCGGGCTATAAACTACAGCAACTAGATTGCAACAGCACAGCCTCTTTGCTCTTCCCCCATGGACGGAGAAACGGCCAAGTTCCTTCTTTTCTTGGGCAACAACGTGTAAAGTCTACGAGAGGTCATGCGAGATTGTGATGCCGAGGTCCTTTACAGAACTCACTGAGCTTAGACGTTCTCCACGCGGGACGAGGGAGTAATGTGGGACAGATTTAACATGATTATGTGTAACTCGCATAATTTCACATTTCTTCGCATTGAAGTTTAACTGCCAGGCCTCAGACCAATTTCTAAGGTGGAATAAGTGGGACTGAAGGATGCTTGTGTCTCTAGCTATGTCGGAGATCTCTCTGTAAACCTTGGTATCATCTGCATACAGTTTAACCGTTGATGAAATACCTGACGAGATGTCATTCACGTATAAAATGAAGAAGACGGGTCCGAGGATTGTTCCTTGGGGTACTCCAGATAAAACTGGAGACCAGGACGAGCAAGTACCACGCAGGACGACGCGTTGCATCCCACCGGTTAAAAAATTACGAAACCACTGGAGAGCAATGCCGTCGATACCGTGACGCTCAAGCTTGAAAAGAAGACGCTCATTCGGTACGCTGTCAAACGCCTTGGAAAAATCCAAAAAGGCGATGTCAGTTGGCTTTCTGTTGTTGCGTGATTTCGCCCAATCGTCGTAACAAGAAAGAAGCTCGGAAAGCGTTGATCGGCCCTCCATGTAAGCGAACTGGTTCGGGTTGAGGATTATGTCTCGCCAAAAATCCATCACTCGAGACTTAACGATTTTCTCCGCGATCTTGCACACTATTGATGTTAATGAGATCTGGCGATAATTATTCCTGTCAGTGTTACTGCCTTTTTCGAAGAAAGGTGTGATGTTAGCGAGTTTCCAAAGATGTGGCAATTTGCCTGTTGAAAATGATTTGTTAAAGAAAAAACATAGAGGTGATGACAAAACACTCGCACATTCCTTCAGAATGCGATGTGGTAAGCTGTCAGGTCCAGGCGACTTGTAGATATTTAAATTTTTTAACAGCTTTTCTACTTCCTTTGTGTTGCAAAGAATGTTTAAAAGTTTACAATTGGTGACATATTCAAATTCGGGGAAGTTATCGCAGTCCTCTGATGTATACACAGAGGAGAAAAGTCATTCATACTTTCAACAATGCTGAGACGCCGTCAACATTAAGTGAAAGTTAAGTTATTATAACACTCATCGAAAAAGAACGCGTGAAAAGCGTATTTTCCGGCAAATAAAGCACAACACCTCACGAGTACATGTTAACAAATTGATGGTGCCAACAGCGAAAATTACCATACATTGCGGCGCAAGGATATGTACTTCGAGGTTCTAAAATCGAAATAGCTCCATTGTTATCTCATTTTGCTATTTTCGTCATCTATTTGTTTAAAGGTTAACAGAACAATGCTCACTTACCATGAAATTTCAGGCGTCATTCAGCCATTTGCAATTGTAATGAGAGGTCTGTAATATTGGGGTCCGCTCCCGTATTCTCATTGGTTGAGTTTACATGTTTGATTGTCTGGAATCAATGAACCAACGAACCTTGTGGCGGTCATAACGTGTGCAACCTCTTCTTAAGTAGTTTTATCACCGGACATGTTACGGTTCGATATTTTCAATGGCTTCAATTTTCTTTTCTTTTTTCAATGAGGCATATATGATAATGAGTTTAAAACAAATAACCAACACAGAATGAGATCAAACCTGACATACTTAGCTCTTAGAGATCATCAAGTAGATCAAAATCGAAGAGTCTCCTGCTGTATACAGAAAATAACAGAGATGGTTTTTCCTAAAGTTTACTTCTTCAGTGCGTTGCTTGCCGGAGTAGTCGGTGGTATCCTCACAATGCTGACTTTGAAGATTTTAGAGGCCGGGCCGAGAGAGCAGACAAGAGTGGAGGTTGAGAACGGACGAGAAACAGGAGAAGGACAAATAAGGATCGGAGTTCAGGAATCTACAAAACTGGAACAAGAACATGATGAGAGGTGTTGCTAATAATGGTTAGCTCTTTATTTATGTATTTATGTATTTTTTTTTATTATTTATTATCATTAAGTTGTGGCGAAAATCGTAGTTCAGGTAGGACGGGGCAGTGTGGGTTAGCCAAGGAAAAAGCGGGAATGACTTGCTCGTTTAATAATAGCACCGTTGTATATATTCCTTAGTGTCGAGTTAAATGAACATAAGTGTGATATCAGTTTTATTATGAAGGACCCTCCAGAGTTTAGATTAACAATGTTCTTAAGTTTTTATCGCACGTAGGAGTCCTTGTTCCTTAGGCAACTGTAGACCATGCCTGCCTTATTACCACAGACGTGCGTTCTTTTTGCACATGTTTTTGCCCAAACATAAAAAAAACGTTAAGTTATCTTCTTATCTAAAAACCTCGTCAAAAAGACAAGCTCATAGGCGGGCTTTTACTGTGGGAAAAATTTCCTGAAACCTAGTATATTTCCTTTTCAAAAAGTTATGGTGCAGAGTTTTTGTATGGACTAAGGTCAGCTGGATATGAGGGTTACTTTTATTAATCACCTGATGCGTCACGAGATTCGACCAATCAGAATGCGATATTAGTAGAGTGATTTTCGCGCTTGGAAAGAGCCGTTTTAGGGGAATATATAGTGAAATTTTCGCTTTATTCCCAAGCTTGTGTAGGTAATTTTGAAAGCATACCGCCGTGGAAAGTTGTTGGAACACTTTATCTTGATAGTAGTTACGTTGCTTTGAAATATTTTGCCTTTTGAGCGTTTGAGGCAAGTTTGAATTGCACGGTAATGTGCAAGCCGCCATGATGATTTGAGTGTTATTTTCGCCGTTCTTCTTGAATTCATTGCTGGTTACTATTAGCGGTTTTATGGGATTATTTTGGTCATCTTGTTACTTCAACCTTTCTTCTTTGTAAATTTCGGGGTTTTACCCGGGTCTACCCCTGTTAGTTTTCCCGTTCTAAGGCGTTAAAAGTGTCTTGGAATAAAGAGATGGTCTTAACCAAGTAGCCCAACACCCGGGAAACGGGTTAAGAAAACATGCCGAAGCGGAAGCCAAAGTGAAGCGAGTGACGCCAAATCCAGGAAGAGTTTGTTCCAGTTTAAACCAGAAAAGTTAAATAAAATGAATATTGTAATAACCTTTGGAAACAAAACATTTTTCATATTAAACCCATTGCAGAAACTGGAAGTGTGTCTTTAAAATAATTTGCATGCGGTGTGTCGTATGTGTATATATGCAAATCTTCGCAAAATTTAAATTCACGTGAGTCAATAAATCAGTAATAAATCTCTGCCAAAACACAAAACCGTTATCTAAGATCTAGACAACATTATACAGGGTTTTAAAACTGTGAGGTAACAGAATCGATACACTGCGCTCACTTCTATCAACAATCGTGGTTTTACTGATTTCTGCGGCCGTAGCCTGAATTTCATCCGAATACTTAGAGTCGTTATTACTCTTTTTCTATAAAAGCTCCTTCTTTTCACTCGAGAACTAGCATATCTACGCATAAAAATATCTTCTAATACTTGGAATGTTTATACTGCTGAAAATCAAGAGGAGATACTTTTTTTCAACGAGACAGCATTCCTACTTTGGTGTCACGCACAGTGGAAACTCGTAAGTTCAAATTGCTTTATTTTCGAAATGAAACATGCTACGGGAATGAAAACTTGTACAAAGATATACTTTTTGTTTGCCTTCAACCTAGTGTAAACAAGAATTCGTAAAATCTCGCTATTTTGACTTTTCAATTTGATGACGTCACTGTGAAAGCCATACATAGAAAGTGTAGTTTATTGCTTTTTAAGTATTCGAGTGAGATTTGGCGCCGAAGCCGACACGAGCGGCGTAGACCACCTAGTCTCCGCTCCCTTTTTTGGATTACGGCTCCGCCGCCAAAACTTAAATCGCTCACCTAGACAATACCCCCAGCTATGCAGGCTACTCTATCATGCGTACTTGACCGTCTCTCGATTGAAATGACGCAAACCGCCTGCCAAAGGCCTGTTAAAATGTCCGTGACAGACCGTTGCGAAGGGAACTATGAACACGATATTTTATCCTTGGTATTTTGAGAATAGGCCTTTGGAGCCTGGGAAATTATTTAAGACAATGTAATTTTTTTAAAAACCCTACTTGTGCAAACGTTGTGGAGATTGCTAAGTGGCAGGTGCTTTTACTGTGTGAAAAATTTCTTGATTCCCATTATAATGTCTTTTCAAAAAGTGATGGCGCAGAGTTGGTTACTCTTGACTAGTTATCATCATTTAAGCTGTACAAAAAATGAGTATCAGTTCTAATACCAATGATTTTTGGTTGCTTTTGTTTCTACAGCAGTGCCATCAGCCCCAAAGAGGATCAGATCCAGAAGTTTCAATTCATGATGTTGGCTTTCACCTTAAATCTTAGTTATTAGAGCACACACAGTTGGAAATTACGCACCACTAATTATCAAGATCTAATTTAATATCAATGATGAATTAAGTTAACAGGTCATGAGATTTAGTACACGATAAGTGATTCCGTTCTGATGAAAATATTTTGTAGCATGTCGTTTTTTTCGTAATAGTACGGTGTTAAAATGACAATGTAAAGTTAAAGTTGATGCCATAGTCCAATCGAATATTGTGTTATCGTAGTTTTCGTGTCAAGCACAAGTCAATTTGTGGGTGAGTAACTACAGCACATACATGTAATAATATAATCGGTAAAACTGTGAGAATAAGAAAAAAGAACACCGTAACTATTCTGTCTTCCTCTTAAATATTACATTAGCTCTCACAGATAACTTTCCAGGGGGAGTCGTCTTAATTATAATGATTTCGGTTGACGGATTCACGCGTTTCCCTGTGACAAAGAAAATCGGCAATCATTAGAGACATCCTAGAATGTCACTTGTTCGTTTGCTTTCACCGATAAATGCTATCTTCGCCATGTCTTTCACTCATTGCCCGAGGTGTTAAAAGCTCTCCAAAATAAACTGGATCTAGATTAAAGGGAAGGCTCATGCGCGTAATATTTTCATTGTCAATGCCACTCGCCGTCTCTACATTGCGTAACCTCCACAGCCAGCTGGTTTCAGTTCAGTAGCGAGAATAGGAAAATAATGTGTCCAATAGTCCATGACCGAGTTACCCCAAGCCTCTGTTTTTTTTATTATTCTCAGGGAAAGAACCCATTTCATGATGACATAAAGAATTCCAGAGGTAGTCGCCCTTTATTAAAACCGAAAATGAAACGGAAGAACAATTGACTTCAACCCGGACTTGGCATTTTATTAAAACCCCTATTTACTTTAGCGCTGGTGTAGAGCCAGGGACCTACCAAGGAAGGTTCAAGGCATTCCTGAACCCCCTTCCCTTTCATGGGAAACCTTAAACATCTGCGCCTGAGTCGTTGACGTAATATACCGCCGGTATATACAAGGTTAAATCTCAATCTCGTTCCGAGAGGCTGAGATTCTTTTGGTCAGCACCAAGGCTGCCAATTTTGCCGGCTGGACAGGGCGGGGGTAACAAGGAACGAGATTGGTTAACTTTTATGCACATCTAAGTTCCAAACTAATGTAATTCTGAACTTTCTTAGGGTGGGATTACACAAGAGACTTTTCCGGATTAATAATTTATTCCTGATTTTTGGAGTATTCTGATTCACAGGCTTAAATACACATCGGGCAATACGAGAACATTTGTTTGGATGAATGTGTTTACTTTGATTCTAGCATCAAAATCTCCTGTCAGGCTTCCAGATCTGTCTTTTTCTTTCAGATTCCTGGCACATCTGCGTGCAAACGGAAAAACGAATTCCTGTACTAAACTATTTCAAGATCATCAATCGAGAAAAACTTCGCTATTGGAAACCTAGGCCTTGCAATCGTGTCTGTCGTAAAATTGCATAGCCTTGCCCATCGTGCCAGTTAATCAAATAGGGAAACAATGTGTACACAAATCACAGTTTTACTCTACTAAAATTCCTTATTGTTCAAAACTTTAAGTTCTTAAACGACCTCTCTTAAATTTCTTTCAAGAGTGTCAAGTCCCTATAATTGAAATACTATTCCTATTCTGTAGCCTACAGTGGCGTATCCAGGGGAGGGGCCCGGGTAATCCGGTCCCCCCCCCCTTACCCCCATTTTAAGACCAAACTGAGGCCCGAAGGGCCGAAAAAAAAATTTCGTGACCGAGCCTGGTTTCTGGTTCCTGGCTGGTTTCTGGTTTCCTCTCGAAATGACATTTGAGGAAGAATTGCAGAAATTCTACAGCGATAAGGTGACTACTCAGATCAAGGTGGTGCTTCTGACTGGTCGTGCGGCGATGGATCTTTGCTACCCAGATCTGCGTAGTGACACGTCATCTGTATGGACGTTTTGTAGTTGCTCCTCAGACGTCGTTTCGCGGGAAAACCATTAGTGGCGTCGAGTAATTTCGGGGGCGGTATTCCGGGGTGGGTACTCCCTTGTATAAGCGATGTTGGTATGTGTCGCCCCAATGGGTATGGTTTTTGCTCCGTTTTGGTCTGAAAACGGGTATAGACTTTGTCTATTTCGGCCCGGAATCGCGGGTATGGTTTGCTAGGAAACCACGGGAGTGTGAAACGTATTTACCGTTTCAATATCAAATGAGGAAGAAACTTAAAAAGAAATTTGCAAATTCGAAATGGATTTTAAAAGAAACTTTTTTTGGTTGGAGTTCTAATCTCTGTAATGATGACATAATTTCGTAAAGGTCAGGGGCCTGTTTCCCGAAAGTACAGGAAACTTTTCGGACCGAAAGCAAATTTTAAAATCAAAACCTGCTGAATAGTAGCACAGTTCCTAGCCGATAAACCAGTCAATTTTGCTTCGTTATCTGACAGTTTCATTTTATTACTTTTCAAAATTATTGAAAACTTGATCTTGAATGTAAACGGGGCAAACAGAAAGCAGCTTTCCTGGCCCGAAAAGTTACCGGGACTTTCGAGAAACAGGCCCAGCAGTAGGTCTGAAAAAGGGTGTGAAAAGTGGCATTTTTTGGTTTGAAATACATACATACATACACACAGATATATTTTTCATTTAGAGTCTATTCTCAACTATTTCCAAGTAACTAAAATTACAAGCAACAAAAAATTCCTAACCATATATGGCTAATAAGTTATTAATTAAGTCCTAGAGTATATGGTCAGGATTTTGAGAACCGGGCGGCACACCCCTTCCAAGAATTCCCAGGAGTACCCCCGGGTCCCAGGGAGCTGTTTTCTCAGGCTAATTCTACTGCTGTGAATACTTAACGGAAGAGATAACAGCAACACTAGACATTCAATGTGAAACGTTTATTACCATGCTTCAGTCAGTCATCTGATGCAGATGTATCCTAATTACATCAATGTTATACCATACTACGCTAGATACGAAAAACCACAAAAAACCAACCATGTGAATTGGCCAAAAAACGTGGCACTAAATCCCGGGGAAAGGGATCAAGAAAAAAACATAGAACACTGAATAACTTGTTACATAGACCGCCTTAAACAAAACGGGTCTAAATAGTTAATTATATAATTAAATCTAGATACTCAAAGAAGACAAGTTAAATCCTCAAAACAGACACATCTGAGTAATTAACAAAATAAAGTCAAAATACCACAAATCTCGCGTGAAAAACTTAATTAGTTACTAAACTTGCCGGCAAAGTATTAATTAATTAGTCTTATTCGTTCCCGTGTCTCTCAATGCTCAGAAATAACATTTTAATTGATTTGCAATAACATCGATCGTGAAGCGAGGGTATTTGGAGATATGACCCTCCCCTTGCCCCGCAAGAAGGTACAAAGCCAGTCTAGGTAGGGTGAAGCGAACACAAATGTCACCAAACGAAAAAAAATTACAAAGGGTGCTGGTACACTCTAGCACAGGTTTATACTATGAGCGATTAATAACTGACTGGGGATCACTTAATACAGGCCCCCCAGGTTTGGCAATGCTCAGTTTCCTGCGCACATCGAGAGATTGAAACAGTACAAAAGAAACCTGCTCTTACGGCTGCTCTTACAATAAATGCAATCTAAATTGCTCGACCAGTGTCTACCTAATTTTCTGACAAAGGCAGTATATCACAAATTCGTTAACTTCAA